CGGACTTTTAGGCAGGAGTACGCTCTTTTCTTTAAGGTTTAAAGGTCGTATCGGTCGGGAAATAACGTAGACGATAACCCAACCAACTATCCAACGCCAACTATCCAGGTAATGAGGATGAAAATTTTGCGGTGAGGAACGATGGCTTAAGTTGCGGCTGATATTAGTTCTAACAATTCCTCGGAGCACTCTCCATGATATGTATATACGATAGAGATTGCAGAGTGAAGCCACATCTCTACGTAACGCCTAGGAATCGAGCTGATCGGAAATGTTTAGGTTATCGAAGTTTCGGGTCGCTCTTCGTTGGATGCTGTCCAGAGGGAGAAGGTGGTACTGTCCCTGCAAAGAGATGAGAACAGTATTCCATATGCGGCCGGAGTTGCGCCTTATAGAGCTGAAGGCGGTGTGCCGGAATAAAATACTGCCTCGATCTGTTCAGCACACCGACTTTCTTCGAGGCCAATTTGACCTAACCCTCTAAGTGATCCCGAAACTGGTCTTCGATATGTCGATGCCTAGGATTCCGATGCTCGCTGAGTCAGTTAGGGAGATACTTTCAAACATATAGAAACAACGTAAGAAAATATTTTTAACCTTAACCTATTTTCTGTATTCAAGTAACTGTTTTCCTTAGGCAATGTTATGTAAATGATACGTTGTCATTCGTGCAAAAGCAGAGACTTGCTTTGAATCTGAAATAAAGTTGCCCTCTTCCTGAGAATCTTGAAATAATTTGGCACACATTATATTCTGTCGTTAAATTCTCTTCTTTATTTCAAAATTTTACTATCTTTAATTACTTATTAAGTTGAACTGTAAGAATAAATTTATTTTTTGTACACGAGAACCTTGACGTATAATTTTTCAAAGATTATATAAAATAAAATAAAACAGTTAAACTTTAATAAGTTTGTTTTTGATAGATACGATTATAAATAAGAAATGTATTAAAAAATATTTTTATTAAAAAAAAATAGCAATGACTTGTAAGGTTACTTATACTAATTTAACAAGACTCAATGCTCACAGGTTCAGTCCCTGAACAAGTCGAAGTATTGTCTTTGTTGTCTATTATAAAGTACCCTCCTTAAAGCCTTGTCCAATTAAAGCTTACCTAGCTTAGGTTAGCAACCTGTCAGGATTTCAATTTCAGATGAAATATCAGAGAGTCACTAGAAATTTCGGTTTGAAAGCCAATATTTCCATTTGAAAAATCTGTATTAACCTCCCTGGATTGTAAGTGTTTTCAGACGAAGAAAAAAATGTCTTTTTGTTTTAATTACACTTCAAGTTAACTTTAAAAAGCGGCAAAAAGCAGGAGATTTTTTTTATCAGAAAAAAGCTTATTCCGTCAAAACAGTACCGAAAGTCGTATCTATGTAGTTAAGCCAATAGCGGTTGGGTTTACAATTACTCGACCCCTTGGCGTTACGTATGCATTCTCTATCGTATACATCATGGCAAGTGCTCCAAGGAATTGTTCGGACTAATACCAGCCGCAACCTTCCGCCATCGTTCCACACTGCATAATTTTCATATCCAGCATGGATTATTGGCGCTCCACCACCGTGCGCTTTTCAAGACACTTTTTGCATCGCACTACCAATCTGTGGAACAAGTTATCGGCTGCGGTATTTCCGGACCGATACGACCTTTAAACCTCCAAGAAAAGAGAGTACTCCTTCCTCAAAGGCTGGCAACGCTCTTGTGACTCCTGTATTACAGGCGTTCATGGGCGGCTGTAGTCGCTTTCCATCAGGCATCAGGCAAACGCAGACGGGTCACCGTCTGCTCGTTAGCCCCCCTATTCCATGCAATATATATAATTATATTATATTACATTTTTATATATATATAAATATCATATGTATTGTTAATATGTATTTAAATTTTTGAGAGTGGACCGATATGATATTTTTTTAAACACTTCAAATTCTTACTTCTGGGGATAGTCAACCAAGTGAGAAAAACACTAAATTTCATCCCGGACGATCCCGGATATTTGATCCCGGATAAAATTAGACAAGACTATGCATGCGTGCTACTTTTTAAAAACTTGACGTCCATTGGATGAATAAAATGATACATCATGCGCGCAGATATCCTAGGCGTCACAATTCAACAATTAAAATTCAATAAACCCTCATCTTTTTAATCTTTAATGTGTGTAATTTATTCCTGAGTGAATAATTCAATTTATAGGCATTTTAAAGCCCCCTAAATTTGAAATTGCCTCGTATTAATTGATGAAAACGCTATTTCAACAGATTGAATGAAAACAAATTATTACGATTTTTCCAAATTCAGAATGTATTAAGAACTACCTCAATGATTGGAGACGAAACTGGAAAATTTTACAACAGTGATATATATTCCTTAATGAATGGTAAAACCGGAGACATAGCAGAAAAAATCCTAACTTCCGATTAGATTTATAATATTCGATGAAACCGTTTTCCCAGTTTGTATTTAATGATTTCAATTTTTGATTAGACTTAATAAAGGCCTGTATAGATTCAAAATAACTAACACTCTAAATGTGTACGAGTACAAGTTGTTTTATCCTATTCTGTTAACGCTAACGTCATAATGCTGTAGTCGCATAGTAGGGTCGCACGTAGATTGGAGCCGAGAGTGGCAATAATAGATTCCTGACGCTATTAATTGAGAGGTGGAAGACGCGGTGAATTTTCACAAGTTGTGCTAATTTTTTCTTTAAAGACGCTATTTATTGAATATAGTCCGAAGACTGCTCCATGCAAACTAATTTTCATAGCTTTCATTGTGGAAATATAAAAAGTTTTTACTTATAGTGTTTTGAAGATGAAAACTAAATTAAAGCTGCAGGTTTTTCGGGGTATATTGGATGGAAAGCTCGCACTGCACTGTATTTGCTTCATGATCAATCCCAGCGCGTACACATTAGGCGTGTTGTGCGCGTTTAACTCTATCCTCTAATTTAAAGGCTGGGGGATGATTTACTAAAATTTCCTGAAATATGAATTTCATTAATAAAAAGGAGTCCCTATTATATCAGAATTCGCGGATATCTCACAGAAACTTATATACCCTAGTTTAAGGGTTGGGGAGCATAAGTTCTAAGTTATATAATTTTTGTTATTTGTGTATTAATACTAGCTAACAAACCTAATTTTAGCTTTCCAGAATTTCAGCAACTGGTGACGAAATCGGGGTTTTTTAGATATCAATAAAATCTTAAATATAAGAGCTATGCAATCGAAACTTTATGTTTGATAAATTCACTACTAATATCGTATTCCGTAAATTTTGTAGATCTGGTATAATGCAAACCCAATTTATGAGGGTTGAAAAAAACGACTAAGAACTTCGAGAAAAGGTAGGTGCCTTTGCGCTTCGCTTGGTTCATCTACTGTTAGTTGCATGACATAGCTTAAGAAGCATATCTTTAAAATTTTACCAATTCTGACTTAATAATACTTTTAGTTGAACTATTAAAGATTGTTTTGTTTGCTATCAGGAGACGAAGTCAATATTTGCAATTGACATGAACACTTCCGAACTGTATTCTCCATATCTATGATAATTATGAAATAAAAACTACAAATCAAATTAAATTAAAAAAAAAGGTTGCTTGTAGCGACCATCAAGTTTTGTATTATTGTGACTTAAGAATAATAACTAGGTTCAAAAAAAAAGTGTAACTTGCGAGTGTAAAGTGTACTTACAGCAAAATATACCTAATTGACAGTTTAATGTACCATCATCAACATCATTTTCGCCTTCTTCTTCATCATTTAACATCTGTCTACTCGTCTTCCAAATTATTCAGCACTGGCATTATATCTATTGCCAAAACTTCTATTCATTACATTTTGCTCATCTCTCCGCGTTAAATGTTCATATAACAAAAATGTTACTATAATTATAAGAGGAAAAAACCACTTATCTTAAAAAATTTCGTTATATCCAATTCCTATAGAATTAAAAGTAACTGGAATTAATTACTCTGCTCCCCACAGCGAAAGCCAAGAATAAATCTTGTAGTAGGTAACAGGTGCTGTGACAAGGCAAAACTCGTTCGCGTCTTATAAATTATTTGTTTAACTGCATACTTAATTTATTTAAGTTTCATAGGATTGGTATTGGTATTGGTTGTGGGCTTCGGTTTCCGCATTTAGAAGTTTTATAGGTTTTGTTGTATTCTAAATCAATTTCCTATCATAATAAGATAGTGTATACATTGATGAGGCTAAAATTAGAGGAAATTAAACAAATATTTATAATGATACTGTATATATAACTAAATAGTGTTAATAACTATGAAAAATACACACGGCGACACTATTTATTAATGGTAATAAATGTTTTTCCTGAAAATATTTGCCTAGATTTCATTGATTTGTCAAGAATCAGGTATCATTTTCTTACCGTTGATACCTTAATAGAAAAAAAAATAGCGTTCACATGATTTTCTAAGCCTATATTAAATTGCTTTTGTTAAATAATCTTGATAAAAGTTTTAACTATTACAGTAGCTTGCATAAGTGAATCGCACAATATTTGTGATAACGATAATTTCTTGTTTCTCTTCACATGTGCAGTCTACAGAGGGCTGAGTGCAAGAGTATTTCACATCAAATCCCTTTGAAAATTGCAATCTGAGGGCCAAGTGCGAGTTTATTTTACTCTAGTTTAGTCGTTCGGCGCTCGCTCTGCGGCGAGCGCGTCCAGCGTTGCGATTGGTGGAGATTTCTATGCAGGCCAATCGTACCGCCGAACGACTGTGACGATCGAGTAGAAGTAAAATAAACTCGCACTTGGCCCTCAGATTGCAATTTTCAAAGGGATTTTCACAACTTAATATTTTTTTGACTTCATTTAAATCTAATTTGTTTTTATAAAAGTAAGCGCATTGTGATTCTGTATACGTAATAAAAAACATAAGTAATTTAAAACTCCTGTAAGTAAGAAAATTTGTCATACAAACATTGAAAACGGTTCGTCTTTATCGCTTGTCACATGTTGTTAAGGTAGTTCAAATAATTTTGCTGCCAGTCTTGGACCCTCATGTACAAACCTGCATTTTTTTTTGAAGTTACACTTTTAGATACAACGTGAGAAATGTTAGCTGACTTCGCATTTTTTTTATGATTTAGTGATTTACGCATCTGAGTTAAACGTGATGAATTTTTAGGTACCGAGTCACCCAGTATTTGTGGCAGTAAAAATTTTAATGTTGATGGCTGAGTTGAGGTATTTATCACACTTGACAGTGTATTTGGTTCAGATTTTTCAGAAGTCGAAAATTTTTGGACGTTTTTATGTTGTACTTCTGTTTGCGACTTTAATAATTCTTGAGTAGTGACTTCAATAGTTGCTGAGACATTACTTTTAAAACTGTCCTCTGTTACTAGAGGTGATACTATGGGATGCAATGGTGTTTGAGCGTAACTTCTTAAGACAAATTTTCCTGAACTGTCCATTCTTTGTGTCCTGGAAAAAATTAAAATATTCCTTTAGTCACAATGAAAATTATATAACAATTTAATTTAGAATAAGAGATGCGGAGTGAGCATAAGTATGAACCAATAACAATAACATAACAATAACGTTATTTAGAACTTCAGTTTCTGCACAGATATAATAATAATTACAGTACTAATAATATATACAGATGTCACTAGACACCTGTATATATTAATCCACTACATCATCATACAATAACGGCCAATAGTCCACTGCTAGACATAGGCCTTCCTTAACAGGTTAGTTTAGCATTTCTGTCAAGTTTTCCTTCTCTTAGCAGTGCTGTTGTCCTGTGTAGTTTGGTTCCTTAAACGGATCTTTAGACACCCACGGGATGAATAAGGATGGTGCCTGACCGTGTTTATAATCCGTTATACCCATACCCCATTACACGAATACCCCATTAGTATCTTACCCGTCAGACTGATTGTTCCAATCGTAAGACGTTTCTTGATACATAGAATTTGAGGATCTAATCAGCTTTTTGCATCTCCAACTGAAATTAAGTTTAAGAATAATTAATTTTAATAAAAAAACAATTAATGATTTTTTGCAAATATGTTATGATATTTTAGATATAACATAAAGATCCTTCATCAACAAGCAAGTCCATCAACTTTTGATTACTTTCTATTACGGATGTAGAACCGCCATTAATCCAAAAGCCATCGTTACTAAGGTCCAACAAACAATCAAAATCTTTATTAAAATGAAAACATATATACCATTTGAATGAGTTCTACGTGTCTTTTAGTACAAAATGCTGCAATACACATATAATTTAAAACCTACCCAAGTTCCGGAGTACTGCAGAAATAAATTATTTCTCGATATTTAAATACGCTGGTGTACAAAAATGGACCGAAACACTTTTGCATTATAGTTTTGGTTTGGCATGCTGACATGATTCCTATGATCATAGCGTTCTTGCCACGACCAATTACAAGAGGGCCACCGTGGTCATTCTAAAATAAAAAAAAGAAAATTTATGTACAAAGTGGAGTATGCGAAGATAATATTACGTATCAATAGAATAGACATCAGCGTAGCTCAAGAGGTTTTTTTTTATTTACCAGAACTGTATTTCTGGTATATAATTTATATTTGTATATCTGTATGTATAGTATATCTGCATATAATTCGTACATAAAAGGACAATAGATTAGTTGGTAATTAAAAGTAGTGCATTGTTCTTAGTCCTTAGTTGCTATAATCTGTACTAAAATAATAAACGCTATCTCTTGAACTAGGTATTCCTGTATTTTAAGAGCTAGTCCGGCTATCAGTTTACACTGCAAGAATTTCACAACAGGTTGGAAAGTAGTGTTGTACTTTCATTAAGGTAAACAAATTCGTAATCTAATATATATGTGTATATATTTTCAATTTGTGTAGATATGTTTATGTTGTATGTGTATGTTTGTTTTCTTTGCCGTGGAAGAGCCATGCTTCGGCACGAATGGGCCGGCTCGACCGGAGTGATACCACGGCCTCACAGAAAACCGGTGTCAATTCTTTCGTTGCCTTTCACTGAGTGAGTGAGGTACCGGAGCCCAAATCCCCCCTCCCGCTGACTTGAGCGGGAGGGACTCCAAGGGCGGCAACGCGCTTGTGACTTTTGAGTTGCAGGTGTCCATGGGCGGCAGTAGTTGCTTACCATCAAGTGACCCGTCTGCTCGTTTGCCCTCTTATACCATAAAAAAAATGTGTATGTGAGTATTTGTGGGGTCATGAGAAGAGAAATAGTCTTGATTTTGTAACCCCTCCGTCACTTTAGATTTTACTTAAGACATGTTAAGATCTCTAATACCCACCTTTTTATGGATTTGCTTATATAAATGAGTGCTTTGCGAATAGTACTGGTGGTTAGGAAATGTGGTGTATAGTGTGGAGTGCCTGGGAGAAGGTATGTTCGCTTTGTAGGTAGTCCGCAGGGGGTAAGTCTCAAATGGCTTTCCTAAGGATTCGATTTAGAGCACAAAGTAGCCTGACGTACTGTGTTAGTACTTCGACATCTGCAACTATACATTTTGTGGATTGTGATTATTTTCTGGTCTTTTGGTCATAACTTTAAACACGGCTGTTTCTACTGTCAGAAATTTGTTTTTATTTGCTCCTCCCCAAACAACGCTACAGTATCCTATAATTGATTTGCATAAGTCATTATATACTAAGTTTAATGTAGAGCTATTCTCAGTCTCCCTGAGTGTTAAAAATGTGAATGAGAAGCATTACACGAGTGGTTAGTGCATTGACAATAAGTACACCTAGGTACTTAACGCTATCAGTCCCACTGAGTGTCGGGCAAGATCAAGACACGGTTTGGTTTGTGCATGAATGGGCAGTTAGTAAAAAAGAAGAACGCGGGGAGGTGTTACTTAGAATGGTAAAGGTATGAAAATAGTTGTGTTAAAGTTTAGGGTTAACAAGAGTTTGACTGCATTTCAGTTAATGTGTGATTTATGTGTAAACAAATAATATTTAGACATAACCCTATTTAGGAGAAGGAAAATCGAGTCATGAAATAAAACCTATTTTATATCATGACTTGTGGTCTTATAGTATTAGAATATGTGGTGATCTCCTCATCAAATATTACTCAGCTGTATCTTCTGTCAGTAGCTTTAGCAAAAAAGTCTTCTTTAGCCAAAGTTGCTAATACTTTTAAAAAAATCGTTAATTTTGAGTTACCTTTAAAAAAATCAAACCAAAAGTACGTAAAATACGATGCACCTCACAAAATCCACCAACTGACATCTCAAATCTTCTTGTGGAGCGATGATGAGCGGCTGTATGAACAATAAGATTCTTGGGATCTATAATCATTCTCCTTTTAGGTACTACAGGCGTCATTTCGAAGTATTCACTGTCTGAATCATCTAATGGCTTGCAATTAGCACCATGTTCCTGATTAGAATATAACATATTATTTTAACTTATTTTGTCCGTTGAAAACTCGTACATTTCACGTAACTGTTTTTTCGATACGGACTGTACTAATACTTTTACAATACGGGCTGACTTACGTATTTAACCTCCTACGCTTGTTAAAATTTGTATAAAGAATATATTCTGGCACACGGACACGAATTATACAATGAATAAGCTTAATATACATTGGAAAAAGAAAGATTTATTTTCATCTTTAACCATAATCGTGAACGAGCCATGCTTCGACACAAATAGGCCGGCTTGACCGAACTGATTTTAAAGCTTTATAGAAAACCTGTGTTGAGGTCGTAGCCAACTTAAACGACTCCGCTCTTACCCAACCAAAGTATGAGCGTATAAATATAGACTTAACATCGTGTTCCGTAGACGCACTTTCCAGTACAAAAAAGCAGACTGCGCGCGATAAGCTCGCTTACCGCGTTTTTTGTTGTTACTGTTTTGTTTGTCGTTTAAGTCGGCTACGACCTTTAAGTAACTCTTTCGTTGCTTTTCACAAAGTGAGTGAGGTTATCGGATCCCGAAGTCCCCCTTTCCCTGATAATGGGAGGGTTTTCACATCTCAAAACAAAAATACATTCTTTTGTATGTTGTTCAAAAATACCCAACGCACCTAAACAAGTTTTCACTTCAGAAATATATTTTCTTGATATTATATCATATCTATTATTCGTTGTAGATTTTTTTAAAGCACAGATATTTACTGAAATAGAACTTTACTTTTAAAAATTTTGACTAAACTACAAGTTGAAAAGACAGAATAGAGATAGATACAGTTGAGAAAAAGGAATATACAAAAAAGGTTTTACCAGACATGCTTCACTTTCCATATAATCTGAGGCGTCTTTTGTACAAATCATTTGGCTGTTGATTATGTAATGGTATCGTTCGTCCCAATGATTTCTGCAACCTTTCTTTGATACAACAATAACATCCGTTTCTAATAAATCTACTGAGTTTTCCGCTTTCTCTAACGGCATTTTGTCAATCTGCCATATTTTAGACATTAAAAGGGATATTAATATAAATATACGATAATTACTAAAGAGTAAAAAAAAAACTTTCTTGATTGAATTATACCTCATCTGTCATACAAAAATTGGGTGAAGTTATGCAATACCTAGGAATTCTTAAGACTTACAGCTTGTAGATGACACAGAACTATTATCTGACTGACTGAGTCAAATAGACGAACATGAAATTAAACAATACAACAACCGTCATGTATTTATCTCAGATAAAAATACACATTTAACTGAATATATTTAATACTAAATTAAATTTAAAGATAATAATAATTTCTATTCAATTTATGCGTTTCATATGCTATCCGTTTTTATGGGATTTACCTTTTAATATTGGCATGAAAATGTGTCTGTGACTCACATGTTCATGGTTACATTTCTTTTTTATCATTTCTATAAGCATGTTCTTAAAGTAATATTTTATATAGGTAACTTTTATTATTGAAATTAGCCTGTACCGTACTTATAGTCTCCAGACTACTGATAAATACATACATATACACGTGTCTAAATATAAACGTATTAAACACGGAATATACTCATTACATAATTATTTTCCTATTCATTATTTATCCTGGCTGGAAATCAAACACTCGCTTTCGCAAAACAGAACATGTAAATAATCAGTATAACTAAAGTTAAGTTTTGGAAAAGTTTACAAATAAATTTAAATTTAAATAAGAGAAAAGAAAAGCTTACATCTGTAAATCTCTTTGTAGTACCCCATCCCGCTATAGATGCCATAGTTCCACTGTTCTCATGACTTATGCTGCGGTTATTGAATGAAATCTTTTGCGGTATGAAATCACATCCCAGAATTTTGTTTTCAAAATTGAAGTTGTCTTCTACCCTCACAATAGCAATGTCGCCCACCATCCAACGAATATTATCAAATTCGCCGCCATCAAAATTATGAGCTTAAAAGAAGTAAAATAGTAGATAAAACAAATTAAAAATATGGCAAAAACACAAAAAAATACAGGTACTTACAAATTGGTACACATTTCCAAATTGCTTTCTTTGCGCCATTGATTATGCATTCATTATCCGTTACTTCTGGAGGTATCCATCTATTGATACATCACATTGTACTTTGTCACAAAATGTACTTTGCAAAGGCTATTGAATTACTTGCAAAATAAAGTGAATCCCAACTTTTAATTTAAAACCAGGGAACCTTGAAAATTAAAAGTTGGGACTTGGAAAAAGTAATGGACTTTGAGATACACCAAATTCAAATAATCTCACTTTTTTTCAGATCTAGTCATTTGATTTTATAATGCAATGTTAATATATTGACTCGTCTTATGGTCACAACAGGGATTATTAAATTGATATTTAAAAATATTTTTAATAAAATATACTTAATGATTACTTGTGGGTGCCAGATATAACATAAAATCGTTCGACGTCTTCTATGCATGCGGCCGAAGTGAGAATATGACGTTTATTAATTATAACGCCTCCGCAAACCCAATGGCTATCTATTAATCTTTGGTTCACATCTTTTGCTGCCCTCAAATATACCTGATGAAATAAATATAAAAATACATTAGCACTGTTCTTTGAAAAATATGCATTGATTAAAATTGTATTGCAGATAAATTCATACCAAGAATACATGTGTGTACAATGTACAATGAATGTTTGTAATGTACAATTGAATTGTACAACATAACCTACCATGTAAGGCCTTGTGTCACCTACAAGACGCCCCTTTAATATTCGTCTTGTTGGTAACATTGATATTGGTTTATAAATATCCTGTAAATTTATTCGATTTAGAGGCTCTGCAATAAAGTAAAATGGTTATATTATATTAATTTTAAACTCCAAGAAAACATAATTCTGATTTACAGTTTGGCAACAAATTTGAAGGGGAATGTAGATGAACAGATTCATAAACGATTTAGATAGAAAACAGATATTACAGGAGGTAAATAATGACTACACGATATTAAGATCTAAATGGTACAAAGCTATAATAGATTTACCATTTAGATATATAACAAAATCAGAACCTTTAATAAGCGTCGCAGCAAATGTTAAGGCAGTAACATAGAGATCTAACGTAATGTGACACTTATATATTATAAGTATGACGTAGAAATATCTATTTAAATGTATACAAATATCGAAATATAATTTAAACACAAACAATAACTAATCACATTGATAATAAAACAGATGTAGGTAATTCTAATTAACTTTATTACCCTTAAGATTTTATATTATGTGAATATTTGGATTTGAAACAGTTTTGATAGAGAATTTAATAAAAAAATTGCAATTACCCGATCCGCTTATAGTAAAAAACACTAAAACTAACAATAACTCTATCATTTTAATTACTTAAAAAACTCAGCAATATTACACGCGTACACTCATGGATTCTTATCTTGAATGCCATATGGAAATACATTATTTCAGATTAATTTATTCTCACTTTAACTCTGCAGTCAGCGTGCAACACAAAACTGTGCCTACAGAATGCACTAAGGATTTTTTTTTTTTTGCTTTTAGACAAATTGCTGTGCTCAACTTTTTATAATACATATGAAACTGGCATTAAATTCAGTCGAGCATGATATTGAAAAATCATTTCAATACACGAATTTATGTTGGCTGTTGATGATGAAGACGATGACAAACTAATAGTAAAGAAAATTATAATGGAAAACTTTTCTATGATTTTCAATACGTTATTGAATGTAACCCAAGTGATGTGTGTGTACAGGATTTATGGTAATAACAATTAAAATATACCTATACTTTGTTACTTTTCTCTAGGATGTTATCTTCACAAGATGTTTTGTTAAAAAGCGGGCATTAAATGGCCATCATCTCGTCTATTACCTAAGGGGGTCATCTCAGGTAATTAGGTCATCAGGTGGTTAAGGGTTGGAAGCTAGGTAAGCGTTCTGCCAATAACTAAATTGTCTAATGTTCCAGTTTGTGCGATACACAACATTAAATTGTAGAACTTGTGAGACTTATTGCATACTAGCTGTAGTTCCAAACATTAAATATAGTTTCAACGGTATTCTTCTATTTATTTTTTATTCTTTATTCTTTTACATACGTTTGTCTGCACAAAATTCATGTTTCCATTAATACTGATAACATAAAAAGAATTATCTATCTAATTTTATCTATTTTCTAAGATGTAAACTTAGGTAGTTAATATATGATATCAACATCAGTAGCTTGAGCTTAACTTTGACAGAATTGAAGTTTGTAGAACCAATAAATATATTACAGTGATCACCGCAAACCGTTCGCAATGTGTCTATTAAAATTCACGTCAAACTCTACTTATTCATACAACTATCTCGTAAATTCCACTCGAACGAGATAGATTTAATGGCAATTTACTCTGATTAGGGTTTATTCTGATCCCATTTGAGTGTCGCATTAAAATCGCAAATAATCCGCCATTCTACTGATTGGTTGGCTTGGAAATGATTAGTTTAGAGAGTGTATATACATATGCAAACTGAACTGTCAGCGAATGATAAATAGTCCAGTCCAAATGTACTTGTAATAAATGAATTTGTAGTACTTAGTACTAAGTGTATTTTGGCGGTTTCGTTTTAACTTTTCATAAATCTTTTTTCCAGAGATTTTCTTTAACGCGTTTTCATATGTGTTCTCTTATTTCTGCATTCTCTTTTTAATATATCTTATTTTGTATAATGAATGTGTAGTAATGTGTCTTTATGCTTAGTGTGTATATTTATTTGTGTTTGTATATAACAATAGTCTTACTTACAACATACTCAGGAAACTACAATTTACAAATTGCTACTCCCCATCTCATTCCTATTCTCCTTCTCCATCCTGTGGTTACCTGGAAGAGATCGCAAAACGCGATAAGGCTGCCAATTGAACAACTTTTTTAGATTTCACTTTTTTGTTCCATTCTATATAAATTTAGATCATAAAACTTACACCAATGTATACAAACTGTATTAATATTATATTTTCATTATACAGTAAAGAGTTATCTATCTATATATTACCTCGAGTTAGCTTGTCTCAGCTTTGCTTAAACGCAATGAATTTTCACACAGTTTTTCTTTGGAATGAATTTACAATACATAATATTCATCAACATTTACCCTATTGTTATGCTATATTGACTACACTTTAAATGAAATAAGTTTCATTAATAGTAGAACAGCATCATCATCAACTGTCTTTAGAAGCTAGATATAGGAATCTCCTTAGAAAGGATGTGTCACACGACTTCTTCATATCACCCGACATCATGTTTCACGCACTTTCGTTTTAAAATGGTGCAGGAACTCACAATTAAAATTTAACCTCCTCTTTTGTGTTTTTGAAATCCGTTAAAAAAGCACGAGCTATAAAATACTTGGTCTGACAATTGGTCATTTATTTACAATCTTCGAACTAGTGTACCTACAAATATAAGTAAACGCTCCTTACGTTAATAAAGAATGGAACTATTACTACTAGTGGGCAAATCGAATAATTTTCTGCTATTAGTATTAATGCACTTCCTCAGAGCTGACCGGTAGAAAACGGTAAAGGAATTATTAATGTTTCTCCGACGACGACATGATGATGTACTTACGCTCCGGACCTTGCAGGCTATCTGTATTAATGTACCTGCTGGTTTTGTGATGAGAAAGAATATATTTTTATTTTTTCAAGTTTCTTTTGTTTTTGTAAATCATTTAATGTAATAAAATCATAAAATATTACAACAGCCAAAATCTAATTACAAGGCATATTAGCAATAAAAAATTAAAACCTGTAAACTGTCATTTCTTTTCTTTAAAACTACACAACTCCCACACTAGGAACATATTCCGTATCGCGGGGGACTTCACAAACATACATAAAACGGACACAAAGAACACCCAGACTCAGAACAACAAATTGTGGATCACACAAAGTAACGTCCCATGTGGGGTTTGAACCCACAT